CATACATTTAGTATACGGTATGTGTTGTATAGTGAGATTGTTATAGAATCTTGACTTTTTAATTAATTTAATCCAAGTTAAATCCAAATGATTTAAATAATATGGGGAAAAGAAAAAAAATATCAATTTTAATGGCGTGTAATTATGCTGTGATTAGTTAGCTTTGATCAATCAGATTTTTCATTTATCCTAGTGTCAAAATCTCCTCCCTTCCTCCCTACCTCCTGACTGTTAGAAAAACTAGACTTTTCCATAATAAAAAAATTTTCCGTATTGAAATTTTTACCAACATTTTCCTTCCATTAATCATCATCATCATCATGTGTTGTCACAATAAAAAAATTACAATTTATTGTTTTTTGCCTAAAGACTTAACAACTTAATCAAATTAATAAAGAGTTTAATTAAGTTTTTGTAGGTGTCATCGTGTTAAAACGTTTTTTTTTTTTCAAATTTTTAATTGTATCGACAACGTAACGAAAAAAAAATGGCGGGAAATGAGTGAGATAAATCTCACCGAAATTACTTTTAAAAATTTTAATTTTTCTTTATGCACTTGTAGAGTTACAATTAGTATACGAGGGGGGGGGGTGGGAAAGAAGTTTTTTTTTGTTTGTTAATAATAATAATAATAATCGAATGCATTAAAATCATAACCAAATGTGTTGTTTGTATTGTTTTTTATGTTTTCGCACATATTAATTCGTTATTAAGTGCATAAACTACAGATTGTTTTTTTTTTTTTTTTTTTAACAAATTAATAACTTTAAAAAGTTATTAAAAATTATTTTTTTAAACAATAACATAAAAAACAATACTCGTTAGAAAAGAAAAAAAAAAAAAAAAAAAAAAAAAACTTTTACATTACCTTGTTTTGTTAAAATTTGTGGGGGTCCCGATGTCTTATTGGCTAATTGTACCATTTACACGTTTTTCCTCTTTCTTCAAATGATGATGATGATGAATGAATCCATACAAAAATCTTTATAGAAAATAAAAAAAACATTGAATTATTATTATTATTATTATTATTATTTAACTGTAAAGACCAAAGATGAAATTACAATCATTTAATGTAAAAAAAAAAAATTGTAAATAACAGTAAATGTTAACGGTTTTAACGTTTTCGTTCGTTCAAAATGGTTTCACTTAAAAAAAAAGAAAAAAAAAAATTTTTTTTTTTTAAAACGCGACCGTTGGTTTTGCCCAATAAACAGGGTTACCAATTAGGCAAAAAAAAAAAAAAGAAAGTACATGTAAAACACATTAAAAAAAAAAAAAAAAAAGAATTCAAAGAAAATGAATTAACTCATTTTAATAATAATAATAATAATAATAATATTTGATTGTTTTTTTAATTTTAAAATATTATTATCACGATAAGATTGATTCATTGATTGATTGATTGAATCATTATTAATAATAATACGTGAAATATAATAAGCAAAAGAATATACATGAAAAGAATTAGAAAATGTTTTTGGTTTTGCAAAATATCCTGAGCGTGGTTTGTTGGTGGCCACATTTAATTGTGGTTAAAACTTATTAACTCATAAAAGAATAACCAAAAAAATTAGTTTATAACCGCAAAAATTCATCATTATTATTATTATCATTTAAACGTACGGTTATAACGTCTTATCATTTATCATTTTATTTAAAAAAAAAAAAAAAAAAAAGAAATTTAAATGTGATGGATGGTGATTGGTTTTATACCATAATATTTTATACATTTATATTCACCTGATACTTCGTTTGTTTGTTTGTTTGTACGTTTTTACAAAGAGTTTTTTTTTTTTTTTTTTTTTTTTTCAACTCGTGAAGAAAAACGAAAACAAATGAAAACCCAGAAATAAGAAGAAAAAAAAAAAAAAAAAAAAAAAAAAGAAAATTTCCACTTGACTATTGACTTTTACATTGAAATCTTGTTGATGGGCAAGCGCATTGGGATTCTTTAGTTGTAACATAGGAAGAACGACCACCGATTGTCTCATATTAACTTTAACACATTTCACATAATCTTTTATATATTAATATACGTATTATCCATCAAAGACACCAACAACCCTTTCTATCATTAACCTTTCCTCCCTCTATCTATCTCTCACCCCCTATCTCTTTTAGGTAATTATTTAAAACACGAATGAGACGAAAGGAATAAAACCGATCCGATCTCATGTCGGAATCGGCGGGCACTTGTTAGATTCTTATCAAAAGATGTTTCGCGGACTCGAGACAAAAAACGAGCAAGAAGAAGAAGAAGAAGAAGAAGAGTAGTGGTAAATATTTTGATGAAGATAGCAAAGGGGAGTGGTGGCGGGGGGGAGAGAGGAGAAAGAGAGAGAGAGAGAGAGACATGTATAATCATTCGGAATCAACCTGGAGAACCTATGTTTATTATTATTATTATTATTAAGCAAATGGTATACCGAAGAAGAGGAGGAGGAGGACCTGTAAGAAGAAGACAACGAGTATTGTGAATAAGTACGAAGAAGTTATTGTAAATTACCTTTTTTTTACTTACCAAAGAAATTGTTTTTTAATCTTATTTTCTCCTAAATTTTTTTTTCTATCTATCTATCTCTCTCTCTCTCTCTTATCTACGTTGCCAAATTTAAACAATGACAATGATTCTTTCAATGATATTTATCGTTGCAACAAAAAAATTTTTGCGGTGTTGCACATTTAACATATTTTTTGTTTTTTGCTTCATTTTTCACTTGCTTCGAGTTAATCTTATTATTATTATTATTTATTTGTATTGTACTCCATTTTTTTTTTCTTTCTAGAAATTTCCTAATGACCTGAAATTTAATAAAATTATTATTATTATTATTATTATATGTTTCAATAATATCGATTATCTTATTTTAATTTGTTAGTAATTAAAATTATTAACGTAGTACAAAAATATCATTTTACATAACCGTTAAATTTATAATTATACATATTTTATAATTTAAATTAATAAATGGCGTGGAAATAAACGTGTCACCAGATTAAATTGTTTTAAACGATTGTAAAAACGTTATTTTTGAATAAATAAATTAAACGTTAAATAAATTGTTAATAAATTGTTACTCATGTCAACGGACTTTTAACTTAATCGAATACATTATTATTAAAAAAAAAAAAAACGCACACGCACACGCACACACACGCACAAAGTTTATTAAAAACTTTTTAAAACTTTTTTTTTTTTTTTTACCACAAAAATCAAGTTTAAAAGAAAAAACAATAATTAATTAAAATTTGTATTGTTTTGTCATTTGTCGACAAAAAGGTAAAATTGACGCCCGATTATTAAACGAAACCCATAATTAATTAATTAATTAATTAATCAGTCAACAAACAAATTAAGAAATTATTTATTATTATTATTATTAATAGTGAAAAAAAAATTATGTATTATTATGGTGGGAGATAAATAAAAATTTATTAATATATATATACAGTAAAAAAAAAATTAAAAATAAAAAAATAATTAAAAGGATTTCTGCAGATAGTTTTTCTTCATTGGAAATTTTTGTATGAGAAGAGACGCGTTGGCTGATCGTAGTCGTCGTAGTCGTCGTCGTCGTCGTCGTCATTACTCGGAACCAAACGATAGGAAAAAATACACCCTTTTTTTTCTCTCTCTCTCTCTTTTTTTTTTTTTTTTTTTTTTTTTTTGGAGGGATAAAATGTGATGCCCCGTAGTGAGCATAACAGTCAACACAGTTGCTCTTTTGACTCACTTTGTACACACTTCGGCGCATTTTTATAAGAAGTAAATCAAAAAAAAAAAAAAAATTTTTTTTTTCTTTTTTTTTTTTGCAAGTAAAAAAAAAAAGTAAATCGTTATAAATGTAAAAAAAAAAAAATTCTCATGACAAATCGTAAATTAATTATATAGATAAAAGAAATAATTAATTTTTTTTTTTAACGCGAATTCTTATAAATAATTTCTTTTTTTTAATAAACAAACGTAAAAATTTGCCCCCCCCCTTCAAAAAAAAAACCTTAACAATAATAATAATAAATTTAATTTCCATTTTTTAAAAAAATAATTTTTACTTACTTTTTACTTATATTTATAATTTATTTCCACATAAAACAATCGAACGCAAACATTTTCCTTACTTTTTTTTTTATTTCTGTTAAAATAATATCATAACTTTTAGAGCACGATTAGATGAATAAGACAAAAAAAAAAAAAAAAGTTATTAATTATTTTTTTTTTTTTTTATCAGAAATTTAAATTAAATAAAGAATTGAAAATTTTTCATCCATTTTAACTTCATTTGTTAATAAATAAAAATTAAATTTAAATTCGTTCAGTAATTAATAATTTTTAACTAAAGTTTTTACAAAATTTCAAAACATTTTTAAATTTCAATTATTTATAAGTAATCACATCATTAAATAAACTCTACGCATTTAATAATTATTTCGTTTAAATGTATTTTAATATTAAAAAATTATTTAAAGAAATTATTTTATACTTTTGACAAATTAAAATCTAACACTCGTATACCGAACTCGAAGATAACAAAAAAAATTTTTTTCGCTCTAAACTGCAAACCGGCGACAAATTTTTTTATCAATTTTCGACAAATTTTCGTTTACATTTTTTGTTATATATATATATATATAATAAATTTATTACTATTAATTATTTTATTTTAAATATTTAATACTTATTTTTAATGACGCAGTATAATTTTAACAAAAAAATATAATCAATGTTATTTTAAAATAAAATTAATATGCCGGAATGAGAATTTTTTTTAGTTTTTATCACTTTTTCATTTTTTTTAAATGTCAAGTTATTCAGGGCTGGTAATTCATTTTAAATTTTTTATCACACTTAAAATTTATTATTTAATTTAAACTGTACTCATTACCAAAATGTTATAATTTTACTAAAAGAAAAAAAAATATCTTTAAATACAATCAGAAAAATTAAAAATAACTAAAACTGCAGAGTAAAAAAAAAAACTAAGATAAAGAGTATAATCATGGTTTTAAAATTTTGTGCTAATTTATCATTTATGTTTGGAGAAAGTACTTCTCTTTTGGAAAAATATGAATTAGCTAGAAAAGCTGGTTTCACAGGTGTCGAATGTGCCAATCCTTATAATTATTCGACAAGTGAATTATTACAAGCAAAATGTGCAATGAAACAAGTGTTGATTAATGTCGCACCAGGTATTCAGAAGAAAAAAATATTTTTTATCATTACAATTATTATTATTATTAATACTATGCAAATTTTTCGTTTGACAGGAAATGATGAATCTGGTAAATTCGGTTTGGCTGCGATACCAGGAAAAACATTCGAGTTTTTAGAAACTCTTAAAAAAACAATTAATTATGCAAAGGATTTAAATTGTTCCAAGTATTTACTATTCTTAATTTTGCATGACTTTTAAAATGTAATCAGTATTTGACACATTTTATAAATTTTTAAAATAAATTTCATTAGGATTCATATTATGTCAGGAGTTGTCGAAAAGGAAACCCCACAACATATGGAAATATACGTAAATAATTTAAAACAATCTGTTGAAATGTTAAAAGAAAATAATATTATAGGTTTAATCGAACCTATTAATAATTATTCAGTTCCAAATTACTTTTTGAATAATTATGAAAAAGGTAAATATCATTATGTTGGAAAATAAATAAAGTTTTACATTTATAATACAAATAATTTCCTTTTTTTTTTTTTTTTTTAGCGACATCTGTAATCGAAAAGATAAACAGTCCAAATATTAAACTTCAATTAGATATTTTTCATTTGCAACATATTTGTGGTAATTTAACAAAAAATATTGAAAAGTTTTTACCCTTAGTAGGTAATTAATTACAACAATAATTTATAATTTTTTTTTTGTTTTCGTCGTCGTTGTTGATATTTATAATTAGTATAAAAACATTTTTATTTTAAAATTAGGTCATGTTCAAGTTGCTCAAGTTCCCAACAGGAATGAACCTGACACATCAGGAGAAATAGATTATAAATATATATTTTCCACATTAGAAAAATTACAATATGATCAATGGATCGGTTTAGAATATTTTCCTAAATCTTCAACAGTGGATGGTCTTAAATGGATAAAAGAATTTGGTTATACATTATGATAAAATCAACGACCTATAAGATGCTGAAAAGTTTTAAATTGTTAGTTTTTTAATAATATATACGATTTGTAATAAAAAAAAATGGTTACGGGATACAATATTTAAATATAAAAAAAATTATTATATTTTTATACTTTGTTTTAATAGAATATTATAAAATTAAAAAAATTTTTTTTTTTTCTTTATTACTGGTAACAATGAGTTTATACTGAGAAAAAAAAAAAAAAAAAAAAAAAAAACTTTGTAAACATCTTATGAGAAAGATATTAGTTAAGGTATAACACACATATTTATAAGATTTTTAACACGTAATTTTTTTTTTTTTTTTTTTGATTGTTTTTCATTCGAAATAATATCGTCTTTAAATCGTAAGAACCATTAAATAGTTTTGACTTCTGTCTGATTTTTTATTTTTTTTTAATTAGTTTACGCCCACTTAAAAAAATTACATTTCCCATCGATATTTTTATTACCGCAAACGAAAAATGATTTTCCTTTATTTGGCCCTTCCTTATTTACCACACACCTGTCAAAAAAAACGAAAAAATGAATACGTTAAAAATGGCGACGGGAGATTTATAATTTCTTTTCTTTTTTTTTTTCTTTCTTACTTTTTAGTTGAGACAGAACAATGACATTTGACAACGTTAGTATCTTTAGTTTTCGAAACGGTGGATTTGACATTTTTCTTGGTAGTTTTTTCCCTTGTGTTGTTATTCGCGTGATTTCCGGTTTGACCATCCGGTAAAGCCCATTGAAAAAAATTACACTTGTTTGAAATGTTTTGATTGTTGCACGTGTAAAAAAGTTTCCCGTGATTTTGACCCAATTTCGTAACGACTCTTGATATGGCTGGTAATTGACAAAAACATTTGGGAATCGACAAATCATTGTTTGAAGAAGAAGATGAAGAAGAAGAAGAGATCTGGGGAATATTTTCGGGAGAAAAACCGATTCCGCTGTCGAAAATATCACTGACGCTTGGAAATGTGATATCTCCGACATTATTAAACGTCCTTTGCTGCTGCTGCTGATGCTGTTGCTGTTGCGTTCTTTCTTCTGTATTAGATCCGTTATTTGAATTATTATCCACCAAAACGTTTAATAAATTTTTATCGCATCCGTTGAGGCATCCGATATCTTTCACCGAACGATTTTTATTTTTATTTTTAAAATTAAATTTTAATAATTTACTATTTGATCCGCACTGTAATACGTTAAACGTAAAAAAAAATTAATAATAATGATAATTATAAAGCGATTAAAAACAATTGAAATTGAATTTTGAAATTGAAATTTACCTTTGGACAAGAGTCATTTGTTATTTCTACATCTTTAACCGTATTTGAAATATTAATAACGTTTAAACATTGAGATTTGTTCGAACATGAAAATGATATTTTATTATTTTTTATTTCTTTTATCATCGGATTCCCACATTCCCGACAATTCATCGGAGATTTAGGTACATTATTTTCTTTTTCCGACGATATAGGATTATTACCTTGAATGTAAGAGTTAATGATTTCAAATAAATTTTTCGAATTCGTTTTAACAACTTCAAAAATATTTTTATATTTGTTTATGTGTTTGTTTAATACATCTTGTGGCATTTTTTCATTTCTTGTTATGCTAAAATTCATAGAAAAAAACAAAAACAAAATGAAATTCAACATCACACCGATTTTTTTGTAAACGCAAAAAGAAAGTAACCTTTACCTGCTTAAATCCGCTTCTAATTCTGCTCTCAAATTAGGTTTGGCCATTTCGAAACCGACATTATTGTATCCTTCGACCAAACCCATACCTAAAGTTCTAGGTACAAAATATTTATCATTTTTTAATCCGACATAAAATCTTGCTTTTATTGTTTCAATGTGATCTGCATGAGTGGCATCGGTGCCTAACAAGAAAAAAATGATGATAAACCGATAAATTTAAATTTTAAATTAATTTTTTCCCAAATTAAAAATGTACCTATTCCGTGCTTCTCCATTAATGCTATCAAATCAGCTTCCGTTAAAAGTTCCGGAGGGTTTGTTTTACCTTCGACAAGTGATACGGCAGGTTTAAAAACATCTCCCACATTATATAAGTTAATTTCTTTCGCGTTCCAAACGTCGTAAGGATAAACATCGAGATAATTTCTGGCAGTTATCATAAGCCCCTTGGCTGTAAACTGAATGAAGAAATTTTTTAGTTATCAATACTCTGGGATTAATGGTGAAAATCCCTTTTTTTTTATGCAAAAATTTTCCTCACGATTTCATTAGCGAGATCTATTTCAACCGCCGTCTCTATTCCTTCGGCATTCTTTGACAAACATGCCAAAAAATGCCTTACGATGAGTTCGTAAATATTTTTTTCCACCCCTGTCAAATTGCTCGCGTATTTAATTGGGTGAATGGGAGGGTGAGCTTGATCTGATTTCGTACCTTGATTGGGATTTGGTCCATCAACGAGAACTTTGAGAGCAAATTCTGTAAAATTACTCAATTTTATAGAAACTAAATAAATTTAATATTAAATAAAAATTATTATTTATGAGAAATTTTACCTCCCCAGTTGGAATCTGTGGTCTGCCTTTGAACTAACGGCCTTAAATCTAATTCTTTGGGAAAAATATTTGTTTCTGTTCTAGGATATGATATATATCCTTGAGTGTAAAGTTTTTCTGCAGTTTTCAAAGCTAATTTAGCATTAATTTTTAATTTTTTCGAAGCTAATTTCTCTAATTCCTAATAAAAAAAAAACAATTAAAATACAAATTTTATTATAAGAAACTTTAAATTTTTAACCCATAATTTATATACCAACCACTGTATCTAATGGTTTAGGTCTGTATTTTGATTTAGGCTTGCTATCAACTTTTATCACTTTTGCCAAATTGCTTTCAATGCATTTGTCATATAAAACCTCACAACAAGATTTATCAAACATACGATTTCTCTCCCAATTAAAATCCACAATCAAGTTTTTATTCGAATTGTCTTTAACTAAAAAATTTTAAAAATTGCAAAACTTGAATTTTGAATTTTTAATAAATGAAATTACATATTTAAAGAAATTAATACCCTCAATTCTCCAAAAAGGCTCAGATATAAATTGAGAAATATTTTTGAATCTTTCGACGACAAATCCTAATGTAGGGAATTGACAGCTTCCGTAACTTACAACAGTCGATTTGAAATTATCAGGAAATTTTTTTTGAAGGTACAGTGACTGAAATCTTGTAAATGCAGCTCCTAAAATATTACAATTTTTTATATAAATTAATTTTTTTTCATTCATACTTTGAGGAAAAGAAAATGTTTTACCAATTCTCAAATCTAATTCCATTCTAACATCGACAGCATCACTCAAACTTTTATTCGGCATTTCTAAATTATTAATCGCTCTCATAACCGATGCAGATGTAATTTCAGAAAATTTTGCTCTATAAATTTTAATATTAGGTTTGACTTTTTTACAAACATCAATAATTTCAAAACCGATATTTTCTCCTTCTCTGTCACAATCTGTCCATATAATCAAAGTGTCACAATATTTTACTTCATTTTTTAAATTGTTCTAAAATAAAATATAATTTACAATAAAAATTTATCGTAGTGATTGTTACATTTGAAAATAATTGATTGTTACCTGAGTTTTAAAATTCTCTTTGGCACAAAATTTATTCACTGGTACTGTAAACAAAGAACTAGGATCCGTGGTACTCCAATTTTTATGAGTTGGAGGAAAACAATAATTTAATAAATGTCCCGAGACAGAAGTCATAACCATTTTGCAATTTTGATTAAAGAGTTTAAATTCGAATTCATATATTTTATTATATACCGAAAGGCTTTCCCGCTAAAAATTTAAAATATCACAAACACAATTGACAAAAAAAATATAATATGAGGAATGAAAAAAAAAAATTTATTTTTCTTACCTTACGAGCACTTCCTTTGGATAAAAAGAATGAAATATTTTTAGCTGCATCATTTTTTTCGGCAACATTTAATATAGTCATATTTTTATGAAGCTTTCTGCTACAACTGAATTTTGGAAATTTTCCTACCACAAAATGGCATTTATAAACTGTGGACAACGAACTGAACATTAAATTATTTATAAAAATATAAAAATGATCAAAAAAACTGTATTAATTGTTTAAAAAAAAAAAAAAAAACATTTATTTAACGGATGTATTCGAGTAAATGTAACTTCAGGTTTGAATGTTGTGATTGTTATGCCGGTATCGGGTTAGCCAACTTAAAATTCAACCGTTTAATATCGAAATAACATTCGAAAAAAAAAATTCCCTGCATTTGTTTTTATTTTAAAAAAAAAAAAAAACTTTATAAAACTTTTATTATTAATTGTTAGAAATTAATAATAAATGAAATAAAATTTCAATTTTTTTTGTAATTAAAAAATAATTACAATAATATTTAATTAAATTATATATAATATTGATAAATATATTTTTATAAAAAAATTATAACAAAAA